GTAGTCGTAGTACTAGTAGCAGTAGTAGCAGTAGTAGTAGTAGTAGTAGTAGCAGCAAGAGTAGCAAGAGTAGCAGCAGTAGCAGTAGCAGTAGTGGTCGTGGTGGTGGTGGTGAAGAGTCGGAGTAGCAGTAGTAGTAGTAGTAGTAGTAGTAGTAGTAGTAGTAGCAGTAAGGTAGTAGTAGTAGTAGTAGTAGTAGTAGTAGTAGTAGTAGTAGCTTTAGTAGTAGTAGGAGGAGCAGATGCAGTTAGTTCATACCCGTAAACATCCCGTAACACGGTGTCTCGCGACGCCCATGATTTACGATGTGAAAAATGCAAGCACAACTATGACATTAAAACAGGCAACGGCGGTCTTACTGCTCATGCCGCTCAGGAACAGGCTGAAATCTGTAAATGCCTGGCTCTGGTAGGAGACTATGCAGCGATAGGAGCATGACTGGTCTGCCAGACCACACCTCGCCAACAGAGTCGCAGGACTCGACTGCAATGGGCACACCATGCTTCGTCGACCAAAACACATCATGTTGAATCATGTTGTTTGGTTACCCGGGAGAAACCCGAAGGGGATGAAGAAGGACGGTTTCGGTCCGTGACAAAGAAAGCGGAGCCAGGTCTTGCATTCAAACGTGCTCTTGCCAGCGTTATTGCGTGCACAAACGGTGAGGATCAAATACAGACAGACCGCTGCGAGAGGCAGGCCAAGCTTTGTAGGCACCGTGGTTGAGTGAAGCAGTTGCGAAACTGCTCCTGGCACCGATCCTTATCGTCCAACTCCACGAGAGGGTGCTAGACATGTTGTATCACACATGAAGCCGCGAGAATACACATCCCCCCAATCTGGAAGCCTCAACCCAAAATTGCATCAGCGGAATTACAGCTCAGGACAAACTCTTAGAGACGCTGGGTAGTAGGCCGAGACCGAACGTGAAACTTGAAATACCAGACGGGCCGCTGATGCCCAAAAGTTTGCACTTCCGTATAATCAATCATAAACAAATCACCATGTAGGCGCCGCATGTACAAACTCAACAAAATCCGCAACCTCAACAGCCCCTCTACTCCCATACCTACAGGCTTGCCTGGGCCCCCCAACCCCCCTCAGCCTCTCGTAACCTTCAACCTTACATGAAATGCGACAATATACGGCAGAAGAACCCCTACATAAGTTTGGATGCCGGAAGCTCCAAGAATCTTTAGTGCAAACTTGACGAAACCTCAAAGAAGCTGATGTGCTCGGCATGTTAACCTTTCGCCAATTTGTGCTGAATTCCGATAGAGACGCTTGTTTTGCTGCTGCATTGCTGAAATTACAGACTGGCCGACAATCCGGGACTCCCCCCGAGATCCACGCACAGGGTGTTGACTCTGCCAATCCAGCTGGCCGAAACAGCCGATATTTGCACAGAACGTTTCGACATGCTGGCTGGTCAGTCGAGTACCAAGTTTTGGGCTTCAACTTGCACGCGAAACAATGCAACCCTAACGACGTGGAGCCAGTTGATATGCCTGTAGTCCGGTTCCAGAAATACGAACCCCAATTTGGATGCTCAATCGGCTGATGTTTCGCAGCAGCTGGGATGGTGATAAATGCCAGGCAGCGACACAAGTCACACCGAGTCAAACTCTCCCCATTGCGGACACTTTCGGAGGGGTCTGGGGTCCCCGGAAACATGAATGGGCAAGCACACAAGTGTGGCTTGGCTGGACCGGCAAGCCCCCTTGTACTTCCCTGCCCGTAAGGTACTGATATCAATATCTCATGGTGACAGTTTCTGGCTTGGTTGCGACACTTGGCGATGCATGTTCCCTACAAACGACGTGCATAGGGTACGAGCTCTCTCACTGCACAGCCAATTGCGGAAGCCATCGTGTCAATGAAAGTGCTGGAATTTGAAATGCATGCTATCCTGGAAGTTAAAATGCATGCTATCCAGTCCCAGTATACCACGCCAGTCCGTACATGTCCGTACTGGTGTTGCAGCTTGATTTGTGCGCACAATCGCGCACGTATTATCAGGTATGCATGCATACTCTGTATGGGCGACGGACCTGAAAATCTTGTGAAATTCTCCGAGCTTCGTGCACATGATTTTTTATTGCCAGGGCGAGCAGCCACTGCACGGAAGACAGTATCTGCCGTTGGAACAGGCCGTTGATCCACCATGGCTGGCAATGGCATCACCTGACTGCGTGTGACTCTCACCGGTCACTGGAGTCCGAACTTTTGATCCAAGTTGCAGCTTTATCAATGAGCACCAGCATGGCATAAACAGCTTCTTCAGCTGTTCTACGGTGCCAGAGATCGGTCACATCATCTCGCAGCTTTGCAGCCTGGCCGTAAGGATGCTCTCCTACCGCTCATCATCCGTATGATTTCAAGGCCTTCCAATGCTGACGAGGCTATGTACGGGTACTGTACGGCTTGATGCGACAGCGTGAACTTTCAATACCGAAGGCGTCGCATGATTGTGCGCAAGGGGGGCTCGGCACTGGCTGAGTTGCCTGTGTTTAACTTCGTGCTGGCTGGGCTTAGGTTCTTGCAGCACCTGCAGAGGAGTTTCGTGCCTGTGCGACGTGTTCTTGCTTGGTGTCGGCAAACATCAGAAGACTTGGGTGATTTTCAGCTCTCGTCTTGGGGCTGATGTGCTGTCTTCGATCCTCGACCCTTCGTAACGAACAACACTCGCTGAACTAACATGTGGGAACCCACGCGAGACGAGAAGCAAGCGGAAAGCAACTTTCCCAGGTGGACGAAAGCCATTCTCCAAGCAAGCATCACACACAAGCCGAAACATCTCCCGAAAGTATAATAAGCCAAGGCAAGCAAAGCAAAAAGCATTGTCACCAGAGAAACTGTTGTTCCGTTTTCCGGCCTCGCTGTATCCCGCCACAACCGCAGAGAGTCCGAGAAAGCCAGAATTGGCCAGCTCTGCTTCCCCAGCCCCTAGCAACGGTAATGAGCTTGGACGTTTTCCAACTTCTGCAGCAAGACTGGCTTGATCAACACGCCTTCGAGCTGTGTCAATGAAGTCCAGAAGGCACTGGTGCTGCGAGATTTGCAGCCTTGGCAACGGGAACTGCCTCACCAGACGCACTGCTTAGGCATGTGGAAGACAGAGAATATCGAAGCGCCCTCAAGTAAAAGGCGAGCCTTAGGGCCGCTGCACATCTTCCATCGAGATTACGGAGCACAGGCAAAGACGCAGCGCTTTACAGACATGATTCTTCCTGTGGCTTGTACGCTACAACCCACTATATTGAATACTATATTGAAAAGCTGCTTACACACGGTGCGTGCAAGCGGGCGACTTGTGATAAACAGTCTGGAATCCGCCTTGGCCAGAACTTTGCCGAGCGTTTCTCGGCACTCCTAGCTCACCGCAGCTCAAGTCTCCGGCGGAATTGCTACAATGTTGCTACAAGTACCGTATTAGGGCAGAGAGGCTTAGTGTTTGATGATCCGCGGCATCCTGAAAGGGGATGCTGCATGCACACATCATAGAATTCAACTTCAATGCTGAAGCTCCGCCCTTGCAGCCAGCAAAACACAGAAGCATTCTGAAATTATGTAATCTGCTCCCACGTGAAGGCCCCAACAGGGGCAATTATCGCACGACCAACTTCAGAACTGTTCAGAACAGATGGATACAGCACCAATCACGCAGGTTGCAGAAGACTTCGGAAAGCCAACACGGAAGAAACTGCAGAAGTCCCCAGCAGCAGAACTTGGGCCTGGGATGTGACTGCAATGCCGATGGATGCCGATGGCATCATCCGGAGCACGAACACGCGATGGGAAGTTGGTTGGAATCTCAAGTTTGCGTTTAACGTCCCACGACTAAACTCGCCAGACTGAGGTTTCAAGCGGCTGCACACATGAACAGGTTCCTCGCAGGGTTAGGCTTCCAACCTGTCATTCGAAATTTGGATTTGGCACTGCGCCGACTGCGCTAACAGGAGGAAGAGAAGAGATCGACCCCTTCAAACAATTGCTAGTAAATTATAGATCGGTTGTCGTGTTGTAATGTCTTCGATCCTTCGACTGACTGAACTTCCAGACTACTTCAGGACTTCAGGTGCAGCCCTCTCGCGCCCAGTCCTGTGGCGGCTCCACAAGGTCTACGCCAAAGACGAAGTCTGCGTGATAGGTTTCATCCTTCAGATACAGCTACGACGAGACAGGTTGGGCTCAATCCACAGCCAAGACATGCTGTGGTCGCATCGCCTGGCAAAGCTCCAAAACGGACATGACTCCTCAGATGCTCAAACGATACTCCTGCCAAGGCCCTAGAATAGTAAAGTGCAGCACTAACAGCTTCTTTGTGTCGGCTCTAGCACGTCGGGAAGCTACTCCATCATTGAGCTGGCCGAGTGTCCTGTATCGCTCTATCACCGCTTCCCTCCGCTTCCCTCCGCTTCCGCTTCCACTGAATCCAAGGCTCGGAACTCCACGGGCTCTGCCCCCAAATCCCAGTTGACCCGTCGAGCCAGCTGTGCTGCAGCCTCTGTCCAGCTGGGACTGCTGCCTGTGAGCGCAGTGCCCATGTGCGGCACTTCCGCGAAACCTCACGGAAGCTTTGGCCCGGCTGTATTCATCCCAGAACTCTCGGACCCAGGCCTGGTGAACCTGAGCCGGGGTGTAGCAGAAGTACCTCAGTTCTTGTGCAGTCGCAACACTCCGACCGGTTGGTGAAGCGTCATGAACTCCGGGAATCTCCGGGAGACCGACCATGGAACTTTGACAAGGCACCTGCTTTTTGTCCGTCGACGTGCTCCCGATTGCGGCGTCGGAGCCCGTGGAGGCCTTGCAGAGCTCGACAGCTCGGACGCTTCACTACGCCTAGCTGGGCCAACGATTTCGGAAGCCAAACGGAGGCTGGGAGCCCCGAGATGCCGAGAAGAGAAAACGGAAGAGAGCGAGCTCTGAGCTCTCAGCTGAGAGCTAAGAGCAGCTAGGACTGTCGAGTGCAAGGTTCCTCAAACGGAAGAACTCTGAGTTCAGAAGTCACTTCCAAACACACTCTA